CTTTAGTCTGACTTTTCAGCAAAGCGCTGTCGCTTTTGGCTCCTGATTTTGTTTTCTGCTGTAGCTGTAAAGCAGAGACCATGCTGGCAGTTGCCTGTTGGAAACAAGCGAAGGAATTTGATGTTGCTTGCAATTATGCATGTGTACTGCAAGGTGCAAGCCCACATGGAAAGGTTAGCCTCATGCTTTCACGGGACTTCATGCGGATCGGAGTGTAAACTGTCAAGCACTGACAGAGGTGAAGTATTAGAGAGAAGGGTGTGGAGTGTGGACGCCAGGAGCCACCAGACACCATTGTACCCAACCAACGCCCTCTCTATGAGTTGAGACAGGGGAGGGGGCGCCTATCTCTGTCCCTTTGTTCTCATTCCCTCCAGCAATTGCTGCGCAAAAGAACCCAAGAATAGTTGATTGTACGAACTTCTTTTGTGTGAAATTTGGCTGGCAAGTTGGCCTAAGGCCATCACCAATGGAGGCTAACACTACCGGTGGTTCCAATATAAATAAAGTGATCCACATAAACTAAGAAATATTGAAAGTACTATTCACACAATGCAAACTATCACTACTCGTGGTTTGCAAAGAAACTTTTTCCTTTCATCATATCTCACATTTATTTCCCGTTCTCTTCTTTTTTAGCATGCACCACCTTCTGTCTCCCAAGCATACGTAACTATAAATGTCCATATAGCCCGATGCACGATGGCACGACACGAAGCCCGCTTTTTTAGCCCGACACGAGCACGGCCCGGCCCGGTGACGTGCGGGCTCGGGCTGGCCCGACCTGGTACAACAGGGCGTGCCTGGGCCGTACCCCAGGCCTGTGGGCTAGCACGGCACAACCCGACTTTTTAGGGTCGGCCCGACAGCGGCCCACCACCCCCTCTCCCCCACGGCCCAAGGCGACGGCCCAGCTGCTCTCCGCCTCCCCCTTCGTATATAAGCGGCGATGGCTCCCTCTCCCCTTCCTCATCAAACCCTAAATCATTCGGTCATCTACTCATCTCATTCCCCACCTAGGCACCCACCCGCGTCGCTCCGCCCTCTCGAGTCGCTCTCACTCTTGCCTCGCCGTCTCTGGTGACCTCCCCCGACTCCGGTGACCTCGATTCGATCCGCCTGCCGCCGTCGAGCTGCTCCCTTCTCCTCCTCCCTGATACCCTCCCTCTCTCCCGTCTCCCTCTCCCTCTCTCCCCTCGACCCATATAGATCTTGGTGATTATGTGAGTTCTTGTTACTGTCTTCCCTCCGCAGCCACTCGTCGTCCTTGCTAACGGTGTGTCATCTTCTCTTGGGGGCCATCGTCTTCTCCGACAACGGGCTCCGGTTGCGTAGGTAAACCCTAACCCCAACCCTAACCCTAACCCTAACCCTAACCCTAACCCTCTTCTTCTATCTTGATCTGTCTGACTGTTTCTGATTCTGTCTGTTCCTCTTCCTTCTTCATCTCTTTTGCGTAGGTCGGTAGCCGATGCTTCGTCCTCTAGCTGTGGCATAGAGCTAGCAAGGCGGCCACTCGCACCGTTGAGGAACGGGACTAGAGAGGCCATGGCTGAAGATGATGGCGTCCTTTCGCCAGGCCTGGCCCCTGAGGGCGAGAACGACGACGACACCCGTGACGACGCTGCTGCGTTGTTCGATATCGATCTCGGAGACGGCTATGCTCCGATCGATCTAGACGGCGGCGGTGATGAAGGGGTGACGGCGACTGGGACCACGGTCGGCTCCACCAGCTCTACTCCATCTGTTGCTGGTACTGGTACCTCTGTTGGTAAGTGTAAATATGCTGTGTGGGCTGATTTTGATGAGATCTATGAGACTGTGAATGGAGTTAAGATTTGCACTAAAGCTACCTGTAAAATGTGTAAGAGTACTTTGTCTACTAGATCTAGTGCTGGCACTGGTCACTTGAAGAGGCACCAGAAATCTTGTAAGCAAAAAACTGATTAACATGCTAGGGTTCAGTCTAGGCTTGCTTACAATCCTGATGGTTCTATGCATAACTGGGACTATAAACCCGATGTTGCTAGATCTAAGTTGTGTCGCTTGATTGCTAGGCTTGATCTGCCATTAGGTATCGGTGAGACAGAGGCCTGGGAGGAGTACATTGTTCGTGCTCATAACCCTAGGTTTGTTAAGGTATCTAGACAGACTACCACCAGAGATCTTAGTAAGCTGTTTACTGAACGTCGTAATATGCTTAAGAATCATGTGTTGTCTGTTGTTTCCTCTGTTGCACTGACTTCAGACATTTGGTCTGGTAATGCTAAGGAAGACTTCATTACTGTTGTTGCTCATTATGTCAGTGCTGATTGGGAGTTACAGAAAAAGGTTATTGGTTTTAGGTTGATTGAGGTGAAACATACCGATGAAAATATTACTGAAAGAATTGCTTGTGTGATTGAGGAGTATGGTCTGATTGATAAGGTTTTCTCTATAACTTTAGACAATGATTCTTCTAATGCTAGGTCTATGAGTACTTTGACACCTCTGTTTACTGGTTATTTGGATGCTAATCCTTCACCTGAGCCTGTAGATCCTTCTAAGGTTAACTATAGTCTTGTGCATCAATGTTGTGCTTGTTATATCATCAATCTGATTGTAAAATCTAGTTTAAAGCGGTTCAAACCTTACTTAGAAGATTTAAGATCTCCTATTAACTTCTTGAATTCCTCTAATCAAAGAATTGCTATGTTCAAGAACTACTATACTGCTCAGGGTGTTAGACCTAGAAAGTTTGGCTTAGATATGGATGTTAGATGGAATGCTACATACCTTATGCTTAAACACTTGGTTCCATATAAGGATGTTTTTTCTGTGTTCATTAATGCCAATTATGGGTCACAATTGTTGTCTGCAAGGCATTGGCATGTAGCTGAGAAGATATTAGAGTTCCTGTAAATATTTTATGAAAGCACTGTTGTTCTTTCTGATGTTTATTATCCAACTAGTCCACTTATTCTGCACCATCTTCTCGATATTGCTTCACATTTGCATGCAAGTGAAAAAGATCAAAATCTAATGTCTATTGTATATCCTATGAAGCTTAAATTACTTAAATACTGGCAGGACGTACCTTTGTTATTGTAACACCCTCGGTGTTACACTGAACAATCTTTTGCTAAAACACTGCATAGCATCTTATTTATATGTAGATGTATGTAATATAGGGTGTAAATCAATGTATGTAACTTAAACTTATGATCAGTTGGCCTATATGGACCTTTCTGTAGATATGCTCTTCTAGCCTCATCCCTAATGTCATGATGAAACTCATCAATTGGCTTTCTATTGCCTGGATCATCAACTATATCTCTCAAATCAAGTTCAATCCTCGGTCTTTTCTGTTCAAGCCGACTCTCTGTCTCTTTATTTCCTGTATTACTATTTGATGCATCTTTCTTAGCATAATATCTTTCCATTCTAAAACACATTGGATATGAATTAAGAAATAATAATTATCGATTAACATCCTCTAGACACCTGACTCTACAGACTACAGTACAGACTTGAAATAATTAGGGATGGGAATTGAGAATATTGGATCTCTTCTCACCTGCGTGCTTCCTGCAGGGACAGCCGAGCAGGACTGCAGGATGACCGAGTGGACAGTGGACGACGTGCCGCTGCCCACTGAAGATCGCGGAGGCTGGAGTGGCGGAGTCTGAGATCGACCAGGCGGTGGGCGACGTCGCCAGGTCGCGACTCCGACTCGCGATCGCGACTTCCCGAGGGAATCGAATCGCACAGAGCCGCACGGAGCGAGGCGCGAATGTGAAAAGCCGATCAGGCCAAGGGTCGCTGCTGCTGCGTGCTTTGCCGTGCAGCAGCCAGGGCTAACTAGAATACTAGTTGGGCTGCATTCATGCCAGGGGGGGCTATTGAGCTGCCAAGGTTTTTTTGTGTTTTTTGTGAAACTTGTTCCTAGACTTAATGGGCGCGCCCCGGCTACAGCCCAGGCAGCCCGGCCTTGGATCCGCCCCTGCACCTGCGCAAGTACCCGTCCTGGGAGATCGACTGGGATTCCATCCTCTCATGAACGATCAACTACAACTGCTATAGTAGTCGTAGCAGCAAGATTCAGTCAGTGTCAGCTCAATGATAGCTCTGTGTAATTTTCGATTTGGGGTTTGCAGCTGCGGTGGCTCGATGGCATTTTAGACATCGGCCATGGCGGCTGCGAGTAGCAATGAGTAAACTAGCTAGTACATCGTCGTCCAGTGTTGTGATGCAGCAGTAAGTACGTGCTAATCTCCTGGTTGAGCTGCCGGTTGTTTTTTCTCACGGCACGGCCAGTCGAGAAAGTCAGTGTAATCCCGTGTTATTAAGTGCTATGTGTTAGCTAATTAGTTGCACGATATTGTAAACATTCGTCCTGAGGTCGGAGTCTGTAATAGTCCATAGGGGATGGCTGTGATCTTAGGCGTGCATGATCACAACGTAACCCGGTTGGAGTCTTTTAGGTCTCCCGCCAGGGCACGACGGCGCACGTAGCGCGCACCGGGAAAACGGTATGGCGATCCTTTGTGTCGTGGCGGGGGAGGGCTTTGCGTTTGATGCAAGCCTATAAATATCAAGCAATAAAGGTCCAACTAGCTACGGTTGTGGGCATCACCAAATTCCCATATTCTCTCGTGTGTTTTGTATCTGGACGTCAGAGCTCGCCGTGGTGATCACGGTCACCGCGACATTGCCGTCGTGTTCACGTTCCAGGCTTAAAGCACGATCTAGCACCAACACGTGGTATCGGAGTTGAAGGTTGCTGGAGGAGGAAGTGTCCGGCGGCGAGGGGTAGCTACAGAGGTAGCACGGTGATTTGAATCTGCAATTCACAAGGAGAAGGGGCGAAACCTAGAACCGTCGCCATGGGAAGCAGCGGCAAGGACCAGGATGTGATGGAGTGAGCGTGGAATCAGGCTTCAGGCAATCTAGTATGGCCGATGCTTTCTCGCACAAATTACCAAGAGTGGTCAGCTCATGTGCAATGCAATCTCGAGGCCATGTATCTGTGGGATGCGATCGAAAGTGACAAAGGTGAGCGGCGTCATGATCGGCTCGCGCTTGGCGCCATGATTCGTGGCGTGCCTCCTGAGATGCACTCCATGCTGTTGAACAAGAAATCAGCAAAGGAAGCATGGGAGGCTATCAGATCGATGCGTCTGGGAGCAAAGCGGGTTAAGGAGGTGAATGCACAAAAGCTGCTGGCGGAGTTCGAGTCGATCTCCTTCAAGACTGGAGAGTCGATTGATGATTTCGCCGTCCGGATTGGCAAACTTGCGACCGATCTTAAGGGTCTTGGTGAAGAGAGTGTGGATGACACGCGGGTCATGAAGAAATTTCTCAGAGTTGTGCCGGCACGGTATAACCAGGTAGCCATGACAATAGAGATGTTCTGTGACCTTAAAAAAGTTGACTGTCGAAGAGCTTGTCGGACGCCTCAGGGCGGCGGAGGACAGGTTTGAGCCAACGGCTGATCAAGTCACCGAGAAGACTAGTCATCTTCTACTGACGGAGGATGAATGGGCGGCAAGAAATAAGAGCGGCATGGTGAATACTGATTCATCTTCATCAAGTAGCAAGCATAGTGGCAAGAAAGATCGATCTGGAGCGCGAGGTGGCGGAGGCAAGAACGACCGTGACAAGCGTGATGCAGGCTGTCACCCGTCATCAGGAACACCGCGTCGGAAGGGCAGATGCAAGAAGTGTGGCGTCTACGGCCACTGGGCAAAGGAGTGCCTAAATAAAAAGTCCGGGAAGGAAGAGCAGGAGGATGCTGCTCATCATGTCAATGGTGACACCGACAAGGGGCCAGCTCTGTTAGTAGCAAGTGTGTGTAACATTGAGCGCGCTGCAAGGTCGGCTGCGCGAGGCCTGTTCCTGAATCAGGAACGAGTTTTTCCGGCAAATTATGATGAAGGCGCGTGGGTGCTTGACACAGGAGCCACAAATCACATGACAGGCTGCCGAGCGTCATTGGCAGACCTTGATGAGACAGTACGTGGTGCAGTCAGATTTGGAGATGGGTCCACTGTTGAAATCTGTGGTGTTGACGCAGTACCAATGTCAGGCAAGAACAAGGAGCATCGGGTGCTCATTGGGGTGTACTTCATCCCATCCCTCAGATGCAACATCGTGGGTCTTGGTCAGCTAGAAGAGGAAGGATGTCGAGTTGAGATTGACAAGGGCATAATGGAGGTGTTCAATCGTGAACTGCCTGGTCGTGCTCGGAGTGTTCTAATCCGGGCAGAACAGAAAAAACACCTGTATGTCATGAAAGTCAACCTGACAACTCCTATTTGCCTTCTGACAAAGATGGATGAAGAGGCCTGGAGGTGGCATGCTCGTTTCGGTCACCTGAACTTCAGGGCACTGCGTGAACTCGGCACCAAGGAGATGGTGGATGGACTGCCTCTGATCAAGCAGATTGAACAAGTGTGCGACGGCTGCGCGTTAGGGAAACAACACCGTGCATCTTTTCCTCAAGCCTCAGCTTATCGTGCCCCGGCTGGACTTGAGCTGGTGCACAGCGACTTGTGTGGGCAGATTACCCCACCCATACCAGGAGGAAAGGCATACTTTTTTCTAATCGTCGATGACTACAGTCGTTTTATGTGGCTCGAGCTTCTTGCAACAAAGGATGAAGCACTTACATGCTTCAAGAAATTCAAGGTGGCGGCTGAACTGGAGTCCGGTCGTCGACTGAAAGCGCTCAGGACAGATCGTGGAGGAGAATTCAATTCAGGTGCGTTTGTAATATTTTGTAATGAGCACGGTATAAGGCACAACACCACCACTCCATACACACCACAACAAAATGGTGTTGTTGAACGGAGGATTCAAACGGTGGTCGAGATGGCGCGTTGTCTGTTGAAAAGCATGAAGGTGCCATCAAAGTTCTGGGGAGAAGCCATCAGAACAGCCGTACACATCCTGAATCGAAGTCCAACAAAGAGCCTGAGTGGGAAGACTCCGTTTGAGATGTGGCATGGAAGGAAACCGGGAGTCAAGCATCTACGAACTTTTGGATGCGTTGCGTATGCTAAACGCATTGGCCCTGGTATGAATAAGCTAACTGACAGAATTGTCCCAGGAGTTTTTCTCGGCTATGAGCCGGGGACAAAGGGGTATCGAATCTATGATCCCGTCAAAGATAGATTGATACTGACCCGTGATGTGATCTTCGATGAAAGCAAGCCATGGAATTGGGAAGGGAAGGACAGCAGCAGCGCGAACACAGAAGTAACAGAACAGAACACATTCAGAGTTCAGTGTCTTGACGACACTGTTCATGATCCGACAATACAGGCTGACGGACCTGATGCGGCTTCCGAAGATGTTTCTGAACCTAATGGTGAATCGGGTTCGCCTGCAGCGTCAATTCCATCGGTGGGGGGTGCTTCAAACTCGCCTCCACAAACTCCAATGTCCAGTCCAGGGACACCAATGATCCAGTGGGCGACTCCACCCACCAATGGGTCTGTCGACTCTGACGACGCGCTGTTGCGGTATCGAACAATACCCAATCTGTTCGATACGACAGAGGAAGTATAGGAGTTCGAGTACAATGGTCTCTGCTTAGTTGCTGCTGAAGAACCAAGGACAGTGGATGAAGCCTTGACCAAGCAATGTTGGAGACAAGCAATGCAGTCAGAGATGCAGGCAATAGAGGCAAATAAAACCTGGGATGTCGATGTGTTGCCACCAAAGCAAAAGGCCATTGGCCTGAGATGGGTGTTCAAGGTTAAAAAGGACCCCGAAGGGAATGTGGTCAAGTACAAAGCGCGCCTGGTAGCAAAGGGCTATGCTCGACGTTATGGAGTTGACTTTGATGAAGTTTATGCTCCAATTGCCAGACTAGAAACTGTAAGAGTTTTGTTGGCACTTGCAGCTCAAGGTGGATGGGAGGTCCATCATATGGACGTAAAATCAGCTTTTCTGAATGGTGATCTCTCAGAAACAGTGTATGTGCAACAGCCTCTAGGTTTTGTAGTTGGGACTGGTGACAAGGTACTCAAGTTGAGGAAGGCACTTTATGGGCTTAAACAAGCACCGAGGGCGTGGAATGCAAAACTTGACAAAGAGCTGATTGCTCTTGGGTTTGTAAGAAGCAAGCTAGATCATGCAGTATACCGGAGGAGCAACATAAATTCATTCTTGCTTGTGGGAGTATATGTAGATGACTTGATCATCTCAGGACCGAATGTCAGGGACATCAATATTTTCAAATCTGAGATGAAAAAGTTTAGCATGAGTGACTTGGGTCTCTTGAGCTATTACCTAGGGATTGAGGTGAAGCAAGGGACTGATGGGATCACACTCTGTCAAAGCTCATATGCTGCAAAGATACTTAGCAATGCAGGTATGAGTAACTGTAACAAGTGTGAGACTCCTATGGAATGTCGACTCAAGCTCAGCAAGCTGAAAGATGGAGAGTCTGTGAATCCAATCGAGTACATAAGCATAATTGGGAGCCTAAGATACTTGGTCAACACAAGGCCGGATTTGGCATATTCAGTAGGTGTTGTGAGCAGGTACATGGAGGCCCCAGGAAGAGAACACTGGGCTGCTGTCAAACATATCTTAAGATACCTGAAGGGTACGTTGGCGTATGACTGCAGATATGATAAAGGAGCTGAATTGAAACCAATGTTGGTTGGGTACAGCGACAGTGATTTTGCGGGAATGTCGAGGACAGGGAAAGCACTTCTGGTGTTGGTTATTTTCTCGGCAGTAGCTTGGTCACATGGGCTTCGCAGAAGCAAAAGATTGTTGCCTTATCTTCCTACGAAGCAGAGTATGTCGCAGCAGCAGCAGCGTGCCAAGGGATTTGGCTCAATCGACTGGTTGCAGACATGTTGGGAACAAGGGAGACGACTGTGAAGCTACTCATGGACAATATGTCCGCTATCGCGCTCAGCAAAAATCCAGTACATCACGATCGAAGTAAACACATTGATACAAAGTATCATTTTCTTCGTGAATGCATTGAAGAAGGAAAGGTGGAGGTAGATCATGTTGGAACTGCAGAGCAGCTCGCCGACATCTTCACGAAGGCGCTGGGGCGAGTTAGGTTCATAGAACTGGGGAGTGCTCTAGGTGTCATCAGTGTGCATCTAGATTAGGGGGTGTTTTGTTAGCTAATTAGTTGGACGATATTGTAAACATTCGTTCTGAGGTCGGAGTCTGTAATAGTCGATAGGGGTTGGCTGTGATCTTAGGCGTGCATGATCACAACGTAACCCGATTGGAGTCTTTTAGGTCTCCCGCCAGGGCACGACGGCGCACGTAGCGCGCACCGGGAAAACGGTATGGCGATCCTTTGTGTCGTGGCGGGGGAGGGCTTTGCGTTTGATGCAAGCCTATAAATATCAAGCAATAAAGGTTCAACTAGCTGCGGTTGTGGGCAGCACCAAATTCCCATATTCTCTCGTGTGTTTTGTATCTGGACGTCAGAGCTTGCCGTGGTGATCACGGTCACCGCGACATTGCCGTCGTGTTCACGTTCCAGGCTTAAAGCACGATCTAGCGCCAACACTATGATCTATCTGTTGCAGCTTAATTAAGTCCTCGAGCTTATGTATGTAACCTTGTCTATCTAGTATTCATCTTGAACGTGTTGTGATGATGTGTGTGTGTCTTTCTTGGTCTCACGTCTCATGTTTGGCGTCCGTAACTGTGACTTGTCACAGCCCTGTTCGCTTCAATTTATCAACCTGGCTTATTAGCTATGGTACAGTGTTTTCTCTCTCTTTAGTCTGGCTTTTCAGCGAAGCGCTGTGGCTTTTGGCTCCTGATTTTGTTTTCTGCTGTAGCTGTAAAGCAGAGACCATGCTGGCAGTTGCCTGTTGGAAACAAGCGAAGGAATTTGATGCTGCTTGCAATTATGCATGTGTACCGCAAGGCGCAAGCCCACATGGAAAGGTTAGCCTCATGCTTTCACGGGACTTCAGCGTGCGGATCGGAGTGTAAACTGTCAAGCACTGATAGAAGTGAAGTATTAGAGAGAAGGGTGTGGAGTGTGGACGCTAGGAGCCGTAAAGTTAGCCACCAGACACCATTGTTCCGTTGTCTGAGCTAGTCACTCCAACCTAAAAAGATGTAATTCTAGAATAGTATTTAGTCAAACTATCATAATTTTAACTAAATCTATATAAATATATTAATACTTACCATACTAAATAAGTATTATTAGATTTCTTATAAAATATATTTTCGTAATATACATATTTAGAGTCTTAAATGTTAACATTATTTTTTATAAACTCACTCAAACTTAAATTGGTTTGACTCTAAACTCAGAATTACTGATCAGTATTCAGTCATGATCTTCCAAAGAAATGAAGCCACGAAAGAACTGACATGTGATGTGGTTGATCCGCCAGAGGTTTAGGGCGTGTTTGTTTGGCCTTTCTATGAGCTTTTGGACATTAGATTCGGGACCTTCCAAATAGCGCCTAAGTCTTCAATGTGATTTGGGACCTTCCATATAGGGCCTTAAGTCATCAGTGTTTTACGCGTGTTGAGGTAGCTGTAACTCCTATAGTTTGCCGATTACCTGGAGTGGCCAGTCACCAGCTTCCTAAAGTCTTCGTTTATCTACCACTACCAGTAACTATCTGGATGATGGTGGACTGGTGGTTTGGTTAGGATGCACACGAGAGCACTAACCGAGAATTACGCCCGTCCACAATCCGATCCGTCCATTTGTTTATTCCAAGATGGCCATGCAATTTGCGGCTGAAGCATCCGGACTGCCGGCCGGCCGAGCCCATCAGCAGCAATTCTGAAAAGCTTATCCCGGCGAAAACGACCTCATGGCCGCGGCGGACCAGCCAATCCTCATCGCCTCCGCGTCCGACGAGGGCCCTTACCTTCCACTGCCACTAGACACATTTCTTTAATCGCCCATCCAGGTCAGGTCGCCGGTGAGCGAAGGGCATAAAGAGAGGCCATAGATAATGAGGCGTCCCCAACCAACGCCCTCTCTATGAGTTGAGACAGGGGAGGGGGCGCCTATCTCTGTCCCTTTGTTCTCATTCCCTCCAGCAATTGCTGCGCAAAAGAACCCAAGAATAGTTGATTGTACGAGCTTCTGTTGCGTGAAATTTGGCTGGCAAGTTGGCCCAAGGCCATCACCCCGGCTAACACTACTAATACTAATGGTTCTAATACAAATAAAGTGATTCACGTAGACTAAAAAATATTAAAACTATTATTTACATAATGCAAATTATCACTACTTGTGGTTTATAATGAAACTTTTTTTTTACATCATATCTCACATTTATTTCCTCTTCCTCTTCTTTTTTAGCATGCACCACCTTGTATCTCCTAATCATACGTTCTGCAAGCCACTATGATAACTAGAGCACCTATCTTATTTATCCACGTTGGCCTACTGGTGAAAAAGCAGCGTTTGGGAAGTCGTAGCAACAGGCGCAACTCTTGGCAGCTTTGTTCGCACACATACAAAAGAAAGGAGATGTTTTTCAGTATTCGTGCAGACAGCATATCGATCGCACTCCCTTCCATCCAAAAAGTATCGGCGACGGTCTTGCATTCATCTGGGCGCAACGTCCGCGTCCACTGAAAGTTGCAGCCGAAATATATCTCCAGCTCCAAGCGTATACACACCTGTTGGGCCGTTAGACTGCTCCTTTAGAATCCTTTATCCTGAAACGAAAAGACGAAGAAATGAGAACCTGCACAGAGGCTACAATAAACAACAACGGCAGCAGAACCCTATACTCTGCCGCCTTTTCACATTATGACATTACCATTACTACGTTCTGGTAGGAGCACCAAAAAAACAAACAAAAAAAAACACGAGGAGATGGCGCGAGAACACTCGGAGATATGCGCGGATCTGATGAGAGTGAAGAGGCAGCAAAGTCCGGAGGGCATATGATGCTTTCACATCGCCCAAATCTTGCCGTAGCCCGTAGCTCGTAGAGGAGGTGCCGTCAAAGTCGCGGAAAGCGCCGGCGACGTGGACCGGCAATTATATTGCTGCGTAGCTGCGGCCGCGCCTGTCTGCCTGCCTGCCCAACTTATTATTTGGCTCGCTCTATGGCGCCGGATTTGTCCGGCGATGGAATCCGCCAACTGCAGCAAAGATGCGAATGGCATTCGATGGATAGGATCGCGTGCTCGCTCGTTTCTTTTGCTTGCCGTCAAACTAGCTCTAGAAGCGAAATTGATTTCTCGGCCACTTGGATGGTTGGATGTGATGTGCTTGTTACAACTTACTTACCCAGTGACGGCAGTTACCGTCACTCAGTAAATGTACAGTACACACTGTAAGTGCTTGACGACGAATGAAATAACCTACTGGGCATGTAAGTACCAATTCTCCATTGATTGGCAGGGAAGCAGGCACTTGGAGCCCTCTGCTCTGGAGTTTTAGCGACCAACTAAAGTCCGGTTAGGTTGAACTGCCACGCCACGCAGGCACGCACGACGTCCTTGGTAGTTCTCCTCCGGCAGCTTCTGCCTGTCCTGTCCGGCGCAGCGGCTCTGGCGCCACGTTTTGTGGCTTCCGCAGTCCGCTC